TGTTCAAGATTTTTTTAACCTTGGAACTGAGACGTTGCTATGAAGACGAAAGCAAAATATTGTCCATACTGAACTTACCAGGAAACGCTTTCAACTAATCAATCGCTTTTAACTTTTAACTCAATGAATAAGGTGTAGAGTCCAGTAAGATATAAAAGATCTCAAAAGGATAAGTCCTCTTAGGTCTTCTGTTCAGAATTATAGGGATTTTACTTAAATTTTAACCTCTACTATGATAAATATCAACAAGTTGAATGGCGGTATTTCTATCTGATATTTTGCTCATAGACAGATTTGTATGTCAGTAGAATGTTTTGAAAAATTCAGCTCAAAAGAATATTTCCTTCCTGAGATATTAAAGTTTAAAAAAAAACAGAAAATTCTAGCATCTTTTGTAGAATATGAGCGACTTTTAGGACTTTTATATCTTGGGAAGGAAATATTCTTTTGAGCTGAAGTTTTCAGAACATTCTACTGACAAATAAATCTGTCTATGAGCTAAATCTCAGATAGAAATATTACCATTCAGTTCGTTGGTATATACCATGCCCGAGCGTCAAATTCTAATAAAATACCTATAACTCTGGTCAGAAAGACTAAAGAAGCTTATCCTTTCTAGGTTTTTTTTATATCTTACTGGACTCTACATCTTATACATTGAGTTTGAATTCAAAAGTAATTGATCATTTGAAAACGTTTCGTCTTTAGATATTGTTATGGATATAAATACTAAAAAAGTCAATAAATTCCAGAAATTATTTTAACCAAAATCAATTCTCAGAGGATATCTTCTAATGTATGTCGAAGGCTTTATTCAAAATACTATAGAATATCAATGTATCGAAGTTGTCATTTACTAATCTAGATATAGTTTTCGTCAAGTTTTTCATTTAATTGTTAAGATTCTCTTTTGACACAATACAATAAATAGATGAAATCTATAATTAGAAACTTGTTGACGTAGTAAGTCAAGAGTTAAGTCATATTTAGCTTTATTTCATCATTAGATTTTTGTTATTAAATTTGTTCTGATGATATTTAATTAAAATAATTATTGTATAAATAAAAATTTGAATTATTACATAGAATTAGTAGTAGTGAACATATAAGATTCAAAATAATATAGACGAAGCTATAACATCAAAAATTGTAGTACGAGATAAACTAATATTAAATTGATTTATATTATGAATCATTCATCAATGTTAACGATAAATCAAATAAAAATTCAAATGAGATGCTTCTTCTTTTTCTTTTGCATAGTCGTTAATATTTTACAAAATAACAAGAAAAAAATTAATTCAATTGGCATGTTTCTCTTTTATAGAAAACATTTTTAAATTAAATAGTCATTACAATTATATCAAGAAAATTTTCTGATGAATACTTCTCTTTATATTAATGGAAGAAATTTCAAAAAATATTGTAAATTAAAAATAAATAAGTATATGGAATTGCATGTTCTTTTTTATTTTATTTTATTTTTTTGGAATAAAAGAAAACATTTTCTACAGTCAATTAATTTTTTATTTCATTTGAAACAAAACATAAAAACATGATATATAAAATTTTTTCTATTTTCTTTCACATAACAAAGATAAATGTCTAATGCTAATTATTTTATCAAATATTATTAAAACTGTCCCAATGGAAATCGATACGTAAAAGCTTAAAAAAGCAAATTAAAAATGGAAAAATATTTCTAATGACAAAAATCATTAACATCGAACTTAAAGTTCATAATATAATTTATCTAAACAAAAAACAATGATAATTTCTGCATAAATCTTTTTTTTTTTAATATAGGGCTGTATAAAAAAAATACTATAAATATATTAATTTAATTAAATAATCATAACTTTTGAATATATCTTTGTTCTTAGAACAAAATCTGTTGTAATTTGACATCATCATTACTATCCTTTTTTCTTCGTCTTCTTCTTCTTTTCTCTTCCTTACTTTTCTTTATTATTATTTTTTTCTTCTCATGTTCACAATAAGATAAAAAAATAATCGTTCTAAGAAACAAAAAAAAAAATGCTGATGATGATTCAATTGAATCAAGTGTGACAAAAAACAAATCAAAAATATTTACTAACATTATTATTCATAATAGCAATCAAGAAAAAGAAACAAACAGATAAATATATATTTTTCTCCGTGTTTTTATTCATTGAACCAAAGAAAATCTATTTTCAGAATATCTATTTCGGCAAGCTTTCCTTGATGAATTCTAATAGTAATACACATGAATGCTTTCGTGATATAATTGTGTTTCAATCAAAAAAGACAAAAGCATATGGATGTGAAAAAAAGTTTAATCTCGCACGACTAAGCATAATAGATAAAAAAAAAGATGTATATAGACAAATGCATCAACCAAAAGGAATTGCATGAATTATTTTAACTATTTTATAATTCTATACAAAATAGATATGAATATGAAGTTGCATTTTTTTTTTCTTCACACCGACAATATTACTTTTAGGATGTTAGTCTATATGGAATAGCTCATTTGGGTGTAGAAAGTCTCTGTACAATCATCATTATCATCATCAGATGGATTCGAACACTGTAATTGGTGAGGATTTTCCGTTTCCTCTCGTTGCTATTTCCTCATCTCAAAGTTAGCTATGTGAATGAATGATAAGAAAGACATTTGTTTGAGTTTTGTATACATGTCTTGACTTTTTTATCATGCGATCCAACAGTGATAGGTAAGACGTAGAAGTTTTTACCCTAATTGATTATCATATATTAAAAAAAGAAAACTTTTATCCTGCTATTCCAATTAGCATGGTTGAATATGACATCGCATACGATCAGTTTTACCAAAAAAAAAAAGAAGAAAAACTTGAAGAAAAAGAGGCTCATTTTTCTCGTCTCATTTTCTGTTTTTTTTCCCTGTATATAAAAAACCTCTCAAAAATGAATATACAGACAGTTTTATATTGATAATCAACAATGACTTTCTCGACTTTCAGCTATTTATTCAAATGATTTTTCTTTTTCCTTACTACCAAGTGTGTATCCGTTCGGAGTTTTGAATTGTTATTCTTGCCCGTCATTATAGATCGGCAATGACGGAAATCTTGCACATTCAATTAAAAACTCTACTTTATGAATCAAGGCAAGAAGAGAAAAGGAGAAGTAGTGGCAGCCGCATATTTGTATATATATTTATACAAATCATCAATTAACCATTTGCACCTATGTTTGCCGTCGTCATTGTCGTCGAACAAAGACAAACTCTCGGCCAGTCACTTTTCTTTTTTCACACTCTTGTCGAACTACAGTCGCATTTCATCAGAAGTTTTTCATCATTTTCTTCCTTTTTTTCTTTTGATACTCGTTATCTTGTTTTGCAAATGACCCCCTGATTACAAAGATAGAAACACAGAAAAAGAAGAGAGATAGCGAGAGAGAGAGCACATATAAGAAGAGTGTAATAACACGGTTTGAACTTGATGAGCATGCGCTCCTCCTTGTCGTAGAGTAAGAGAGCGTGCTACAAGCTATTATCGATCAAGAGTTGGTGCAGCAGCATGGATCCGGAAGCTGGATGAGCATCACTATTATCCGCATGTGCTGTGATTATTTGTTGTCACGCCCCATGAACATTACAAACTATACTAAAACTAGTATTTTTAAGAGAAAATTATTGTAGAATTTCGTCTTTTCAAATAAATTTAGTTGTTAGTATTCTTATTTGTTATTTTTTTAGACTATGCCTCGAGGGCCTTGTTCAGTTGAATATTAGTAGTATTAGCTTATTAGTCTATCCTAAATTGTTGGTACTCATAGAAAAAAATTGTTGTCATTTTCAATCAAGGACATTAATAATAGAAATGATTGTTGTTTTTGTAAAGAAATCGTGCAAATGCTGAGAAGAAGGAGGTTATATTGAAATTCGATTTGTTCGAATAACAGAGATCAAGAAATCAAATCGATCTAACATGGTATATGTGTATGAGTATGCATCGTCAAATCATTCACGCAAAGTTAGATTTGTCCTCTCTATATCTCGTGCATTTCTCAGTCGACAAGAGGGAGAGAGAGAGAGAGAGAGAGAGCGCAAGCGAATAATTTCATTTCCCATTTCACGATCTACACAGAGACTCGCATCTTCTTTTTCTTCTTCGTCATCTTTTTTCTTCTAGTTTTCTTTCTATTTTTTCTTCATTGCTCGATGCAACAAAGCGATTAATGTCATCATCGCACGATCAACCATTTCTAATCAGGATTTAAGCGAATGACGAAAATCTCTCTCTCTTCTTTCTTTCTTTTTTAGTTCTTAGTTTTTTTTTTGTATTCTTATTCGTCGTATTCAGTTGAGATTTACTATGAACGCGAGATCAAATCTAGGAATATAATTCGGCTCTATGCATCACTTGTTTACGAACGTGTTCATGCATGTAATGGTTTGAGCGAGATAAAAAATGGAGATAGAAGGAAACACTCGTCATCATCGTATGTTAACCGAATCGATTTAGTAGTAGAATAGGAACATCGTTCACTAAATTATGGCAATTGTACCGTTATCATCGTTGTCGTTTCGTGCACTCGTGCCGGCATTCCTATCGGATAATAGGATTAGGTGGTCAGACTGCCGAGATGCATATATATTCAAGCGAGAGACTCAACCCCGGAGCGTATTCAATATAAGATGAAGAAAAAAAAACAGAGATGATGATGAAACCCTGGCAATTAGATAGCATGATGGATTATCTTGAATTTATTTTTTTTATCTCTTTTTTTTTTGATATTTCTAATGATTTGTATAGTCATCGTATGTTCATTACACTTCAAACATTCACTGAATACTTGAACTATTTTATTTCCTACATATTTCTTGTTTTTTTCTTTATCTTACTAAATATAAATAAAAATAATTTCAAAAGAAAAAAGAAAAATATGATAGATATATAAATATATTCATAGATTTTGTGATGAAAATAATTATTAATATATTTTAAATTAAAACACCACATATACATATAATGGATTCTATATTAAATATACTTCTACGACGATTATCCTATGCATGGGAGACTTTACAAGATATTATTAATGTTCCGAAAAGGCAACGACGACTTATTATGGTCATTGTATGTATTGCTTTATTACTTGATAATATGCTTTATATGGTCATTGTAAGTATTTGTAAATCGTTTTTTTTTTCTTAAAGACCTATATTTGGTTTTTCTAGGTACCGATTATTCCAGATTATTTACAAAGTATAGGAGCATGGTCATCAAGTAAAAGTAATATAACAAAAATAATATCATTAAATGACAAAGTTTCAAAAGTAAATACTAAAAATAATGATGATGATGATAATTCCGAAGATGTTGCTGTTGGAACATTATTTGGTTCAAAAGCAATAATACAACTATTAATTAATCCATTTAGTGGTGCATTAATTGATCGTATTGGTTATGATATTCCAATGTGTATAGGACTTGGTGTCATTTTTTTATCCACAACAACATTTGCATTTGGTCGTTCATATAGTGTTTTATTTTTAGCACGAAGTTTACAAGGTGTTGGTTCAGCTTTTGCTGATACATCTGGTTTAGGTAGATTTAAAACTCATGTGTAAAAAGAATTTAGATAGAAAAATTTTCCAATTTTTATTTTATTTTTAGCAATGATTGCTGATCGATATCCAGATGAAGCTGGTCGTAGTCGACAATTAGGTATTGCTTTAGCATTTATTTCATTTGGATCTCTTGTTGCTCCACCATTTGGCGGTTTGTATTTCAAAAAAAAACACAACATTTTTTAAAATTCATATGAAATTATAATTATCTATTCTTTTCATTTCAAGGTATTCTATATGAATTTTTTGGTAAACGTGTACCATTTATTACATTAGCTTTTATTGCTTTACTTGATGGTATTCTATTATTTGTTGTAATGCGTCCAAATCGTCTTCGTGAAGCATTTGATTTTTCAAATAGTGCCGGCGTGGACAAACCAAAAGGAACACCTATATGGCGTTTATTAATGGATCCATATATAGCTGTATGTGCTGGAGCTTTAGCTATGGTAAGAATAAATGAACATAAAGAAAAAAAAAGAGAACGAATTATTTTTTGATTGAATTTTATTCAAAACAAAAAAAAATAGGCTAATGTTGGTTTGGCTTTTCTTGAACCAACAATATCAATATGGATGCGTGAACAAATGAATGCAACAGAATGGCAAATGGGTTTAATATGGTTACCAGGTTTTATTCCTCATGTTAGTGGAGTTTTTCTTACTGTTAAACTTAATGAACTTTATCCAAAATATCAATGGTTAATTGCTTTTGTTGGACTTGCTCTTGAAGGTATTATGTGTGCTTTTATACCATTTTGTAAAAATTTTGGTGCACTTATGATACCCATTAGTGGATTATGTTTTGGTATGTTTTTATTTTTTGTTTTTTCTATAAATTTATTGAAATATTTCAATAGGAATTGCTTTGGTAGATACAGCTTTATTACCTACACTTGCTTATCTTGTTGATGTTCGTCATACATCTGTTTATGGGTATGTTACTAGACTAAAAATTTTTTTTATTAGAAAAAGAAAAAACAAATTATTGATTTGTATATAGATCGGTTTATGCTATTGCTGATATATCGTATTCACTTGCCTATGCAATGGGTCCAATATTAGCTGGTTCAATAGTTTATACAACAAATTTTCTTACATTAAATATGCTTATATTTGTTAGTAATGTTGCTTATGCACCAGTTTTATATATTTTAAGAAATTTTTATACATATAAACCAATGGGAAATGATGAATTAACATCATTTGCACATCAACCATTACATAATGAACCTGATGAGGATAATTATTTAAGATCAGTTGCAAATAATAATTATAGTACAACTAATACGTATGATCCAACATCAAATCCTTGGTCAAAATCAACAACAACGGGTATGACAAAAGAAAATCAATCTCCACAATTGAATATGATTGGTCAACAAGGTGCAGTACGTTTTCAATCAAAATCAAGAAATCCTGTTGATTATGATGATTTTTAAAGACAAATAAAAAAACATTGTGGGCCGGTGATGTATGTCTATTCTTATTTTAGGGAAATTTTATCTTTTATTTTGTTTTTGTTTTTCTAAAATGTGTTGTTTGTCCGTTGATGTGAATGAGAGTATGCCTTTTTTGTTTTTATTCAATCCCTTTTATGATACACTTTTATCATTCATTTAGTTTTGTGTGATGATTTGTAAAAAGAAAAAACATGAACCAATATATCACAATACATATCAAAATGAAATCGTGTACAAAGAATTTGTGCCTGTTTGTCTATGTTTGTATTGATGTATTTATTTAATTTTATTTTCTTTTATGCGAAGTTTGTTCGTTGAAATAAATTATATGTAGTTCAATGTCGTTATAGTCTATCATTTATAAACATCTCATTTTTTTAGATATTAAGAAAAAAAAGATAGAAAATAGAGAAAGTAATGGTTGAAAATCTATCATCTCAATTGCCAACGTTAGAAAAATATATTGGACGTATTAAACGACAACAAACTGAAGATAAAGATTGTCTTAAATGGGATATTGAGGTGAGCTGCTAGAGAATATTAAAAAAAAAAAACAGCGAAAGATAAATAATAATATACATTATAGAAAGGTTTACCGCATCTACCGGTGCCAAATTTAGATGCTACATTAACTAAATATCTTCGTTGTTTGGAACCAATACAATCAGGAGATGAATTTGATCGAACAAAAATTTTAGTAGATCAATTTCGTTCACCAAATGCTAATATTGGACAACGTTTACAAGATATGCTTATCGAACATGCAACAAAATCTGAGAACTATGTATGTAATAATTTATCATCAAAGACAAAAGAAAAAAACTAATAATTTGAATTTTATTTATTTTAAGGCTGTAGATTGGTGGTTAGAAGATATGTATCTTGCAAATCCTCTTTCATTACCAATTAATTCAAATCCAGCATTTGTTTTACCTCAACAACATTTTAACAATACAGAAAATTATTTAAAGTAAGTAATCAATTTGTACATTTACCAAAAAAGAATTTTTTTTGTCTATAGATTTATTGCTAAATTAATATCAGGTATATTAGATTATAAAGTCTTAATTGATGCGTAAGTTAAATATGAATATTTGAATCTTTTTTTGTTTTTTGTTTTTTTGTAAAAATAACTTTCAATTTTATAGTCGAGCATTACCTATTGATCGAGCAACAAGTCGTGAAAAAGGTCAACCATTATGTATGGAACAATATTATCGTTTATTTTCTTGTTATCGTATGCCTGATAGAAATGTAGATCGTCTTATACAAATACGTAATAATAAAGTTATTTATCATCAAGGCGAACATGTTATTGTTGCATATCGAAATCAATTTTTTGTTTTAAATGTTGTCATTAATTTTACACGATTAGATGAAGATGATATTTATACATTATTAAGACGTATTGTTCAAATAGCAGATGATGATCCATGGGCAACTGATGAAGTTGGCATTTATACATCATTACCAAGACGCACATGGGCAAATGTCAGAACAGAATTGGTGAAAGGTAAAAAGCACAAGGAAAATTATGTATAAGAAAAGGTCTAATAAAATAAATTATGAGGAATTAAAAACAATACAGTTATATATTCCTTTAAATCATAGACTTCGAAAAATAAGTATTTCAATTGAAAATCATAAAGTTTCTTTGATAAAATAAATTTAAATGCAACAAACATTACTTGAAACCTTCTTATCTAACGAGCGAAGTTTCTCAACTGACTAATCGGGACTCTGTGCATCATGTAGATTCAAAAATGAGTTTTGAATATCCTGAAGAGAGTTCATGTTCTTAGGTTAGTGCTTCGTAAGAACATCGAATCTGCCGTAATATATGACCAATGTAAAAGGCACGTTTTTACCATAGCTGTTTCTTAGGATAGAAACAATGAAAAGATTTGAAACATTCATAACACACTATTCTCATTAAGAACTGTGTCTATGCAAAATTTTAAGTCGAAATTCAAAAATCTGTTTTCCTAGTGTTTCTAAGAAGGACCATAACATTCATTTAAAAACTACCATAATGATACAATATCTCTCTAATAATATGCTAGAGACCTGAACTATTTCTAGGGTATTCATAGACTCATTCGGTTCTACATAATGCACATAGTCTCGACTCAAAAGTGATTTACCCGTTAGAAATAATGTCCGTCGGATCCAAAATTTTCACACTCGGCCTAGGATCCAGAACCAAGCCGATGGGCTCTAGTAGTAAGACTTCAATTTGTAAGATAAAAACAATTTGTTGTGTTTTTCAAATTAGCATTAAACTTAATTTTTATATTCTTAATTTATTTATTTCAGATGCATTAAATCGAGATTCACTTGACCTTATTGAACGATGTATATTTCTTGTATGTTTGGATCAATCGGAGACAAATGATTCAGATGAAGAAGATGGTTTTGTCAGTTTTAGTAAAGCAGTAAAACGTGATTTTGTTTCATTAGGCGACCAAATATTACATGGAGGAAAAACTATGCTTAATGCATCAAATCGTTGGTATGATAAAACTATGCAATTTATTATTGGTACCGATGGTTTATTGGGTTTAAATTATGAACATTCACCAGCTGAAGCTATAGCTGTTATTCAATTGATTGAACATCTTTTTAAATATATGTAAGTTAAATGGAAACATTTAAATAAATTTATTTAAAATAAAAACAAAAAAATTCTAGAGAAGAAAAAAGTCATGAAAGATTTCGTCGTTCAAAATCATTATGTGAACTTCCAATACCACATCGATTAAAATGGAATTTAAATAATTTTTTAAGACAAAATATTTCTTTATCAAAAGAATTATTAAGAGAGTAAGAATAGATAATAGAACAAAAAAAAAATAAAGAAAAAAGAAAACAAATTAAGAAATAAATTTATTTTTATTATTTGTTTATTTAGTGCAATTAATGATTTCGATTTATATATTCTTAAATTTACGGATTATGGAAAAGATTTTCCCAAACAACATAATATGAGTCCTGATGCATTCATTCAAATGTGCCTTCAATTTACTTATTTTAAGTTTGTTTTCCATAGAAAATTTTAAAAGATTCAAAACAAAAATTATTATTTGTTTTTTTTTTTATGTATTTAGAATGTATAATAAACTTGTATCAACATATGAAAGTGCATCAACACGACGATTTCATTTTGGTCGTGTTGATAATATTCGAGCTAATACACCTGAAGCACTTGAATGGGCACGTGCAATGGTTGATGAAAGTGGTAATATATCTGCAGCTGAAAAATTACGTTTATTTCGACAAGCTATGCAAGCACAAACTGATCTTATGATTCAAGTAAATATTAGGAACAAAAAAAGAAAGAAATAGATTCTAATCATTAGAGTTATATGTTCTAATTCGAGGATTGATTGAGTGCAAATGTAATGATTCTTTTTTGTCTTTGTATGAGCAAAATAGAAGAAAAGAATGATAAATCTAAAATCTTCTTAAAAATATAATCAGGAATTATTATAAATCTTTTCAAATATTAACAACGATTTTGATTAAAACAATACAATTAGGAGAATTATTCTTACATGGATATATGAAATACAAAATCTAATATATTTTTTTTCTTGTTTTGAAAATGAAAAAATTCTATCGTGTTTCACATTTTAATTCCCACAAGATTTGTGCGTGTTTTTCTTATTAATTTCAAAAGTAATTCATTTTCTTCTAATAGCTTGCTAATAACATAAAAGTATTATCCTCTCGAGTGTCACACAAATATCTTTAGGATAAAAAAATGTGAATATTTTTCATATGTTTAATTCGAATGAGTTAAATTTTTGTATCAATGATGACAAAGAAGGGTTCAAAGTTTTTTATTGTTAAGCATAATGTTAAGAAATATGATTCTAAACTATCATTATAGACTTTAATAAAGATTTATGAACTTAAAAAAAATTCCATATAAATTGTGATCGAAAAGTTATAGTCTCGGAGAAAAAATTCTTTATAAAATCATCATATTCTATCCATTATTAAGCTACATCTTATTATTTTAAATTGTTATCTATGTACTTAATATTTTTCAAAATATGTCAAAGCCTACTAATCTTTCTTCAAATCGATAGCAATAGTTTAATATTTCGTAACATTTTTGCTGATGAATAAATGCCTTACACATTTCTCTATTATCGATAAAAAAAGATCACTCCATTGGAATAAAATAGAGTAGAGATATTCACATCTTTCATCGTAAAGATATTTAGAGGACATTGTATATAAAAATATGAATATATATATATATACATATAAATCTTATAAGATAATTCACTCAAATGTATATTTATTTGTAAATATCTTTCACTTTAGAAAAGAATAGAGATTCCATGATACTTCTTATTAATATTCATGCCAGAATTAAAGAGTCATGAGCATAAGCTCAATAATTCAACGATGGCAATAGCTATCGATCTGAGATTTTCAGTAATCAAAAGAGTAGGACTTCAAAGATCTTTTTGACTGATACTACAAAAGACAAAATTATTTTAAAACTCTTCGTCTTCGCAAAATATTCAAATACTAAAATTCAATAGAATTCTATAGAATTCAGCTGAATAGATATGTGATTTTGTTTGCTCGGCATTAACATATAAGAAAATAATCACATGAATCGTGCCTTGAACTGTAGATGCGAAGTTCCTCTTTCTAAAGCACATATCAATATCAAAATTTCTTTGAAACAGAACAAAGTTTTCATGCATTTTTTTTGAAAGTTTTGCAGGAGATGACGAGTTTTAAATTTACTTTATCTTATATAGTATTAGATAAAAAGACGTCCGGAGTTCTGTTCTTTCGGGTACTAAAAACTACAGATCGATAGTTATTGCCGTTGCTGAGTTATTGAGTTTACATTCATTCCCTCTTTAATTCAGACGCAGACATTAATTCAATATTGTCACTCTTTCTTCAAATTCATCATCATCATCACACATAAAAATAGTCATACAGAACAGTTCTGTTCTTAATCTGAATTAACCACCTTATAGAGCATCTAGATAGCAGAATCTCATTTATATTCTATAAGAATTTTACTAAAAATAATTTATTTTTTTAATATAATCCAAATGTCTTTTTTATTTATAGAATATTCTTGGTGATGGAATGGATTGTCATAGTAAGTTTAATTAAAATAAAACACTATTATTCTAAACAATATATATATATATATTTTTCAGTGCTTGCTCTTAAACAAATAGCACGTGATAATAATTTTTCAATACCAGATTTATTTCTTGATCCAGGTTATGCATTAAGTAATCATTTTAATTTATCAACAAGTCAAGTAACAACAAATATAGCTAATTCATTTATTTGTTATGGTGCAGTTGTACCCGATGGTTATGGTTGTTCATATAATGTTCATTCAGATAATATTCTTTTTTGTGTATCATCATTTAATAGTTGTTCAACAACAAATTCACGTGAATTTGCTGAATCATTAACTGATACACTTTATGAAATTCGTGATCTATGTACACTTGTACAACGTCAACAACAAACAATAGCTCTTCGACGTCCATCATATGCTGCAAAATTAGCAGCTCAGAAATTTATTTCATCTAATTCAATCGAATCAAATGAACATAACATTACTTAATATTAATGCACAAAAAAGAATAAATAAAAAAAATAAAAAAATAATTTATCAAAAAATATTGTTCGTTTTTGTTTTTTTATGTCTTTTTGCTAATAATTAAGATTTTCGAGCAAGAAAAAAGAAATATGGTGTAAAAATACCACTTTCACCACCACGTACTAAACCTACAGCAGCTTTTTCAAGTATTTCAAGTGTTTCAATACTTCCTTGAGCAGCTATCCAAGTTTTTTCCATAAACCAAACCATATTACGTGTTAACCATCGACCAATTGATGACGCACGAAGATTATTTAATGAAAAAAATGAATCACCACCTTTTAATGGTTGATACCATGGAATATCACCTTCGGGTATTATTTGATTTTCTTCAATAGTAAAACCAACCGATTTAAGATCTGATATTAATTGATGAGTTGTTTTTAATTCAGGCAATGCATCACCTTCTTCAATTAAACGTTTTGTTTCATTATGTATAGGATTTTCTTTATCATATATATCAGTTAAACACCAATCATAACCAGCAAATGAGCCACCTGGTTTAAGAACACGAAAAATTTCAGCAA